TACTTTTCAACATTTGATATGCTGTCTTTGAAGCATTTTCAGTGAAATATAGGGTTTAAATGATTTGCACATCATTGCATTTTGTTTTTTATTTACATTTTTTACAGCGTCCCAACTTTTTTGGAAATGGGGTTGTATAATTTGTGTTGTTTTTAATAGTTGTTATAGTGGTTTGTGGTAACTGAAGAATTGCTCAAAACGTTTACTAAGGTTCACTTAAACAAGTTTGTATATTATGTAGTTAAAAATTCTTGGATAACACATATGGGTCACCTTTTCCCCATACTTCATTTTACAATAGGCAAAATGATGAAAACCTTTATAGAATGAAAACTCAAAAGTACATACATATACATACTTATATAAAATATATTGGATACTTTTTTTCCCTGCAACTTTTCATTGCCCCACCTTGGAGAATGGGCTAGTGCCTGAAGTTAATTTAAGACCCCTGGGCTAGCCAAGTGTCAAATTGTCACTAAAAACAACTGCAACACACTTAAAAATCCACAAAAGGACAGTAATACTCACATACAGATTTATTTACAGAACCTTCACAGTCCTACCAATAAATTACAGATGATACTGGTTGTATCCAAACGTGCAGGAACCCACAGCTAATCAGTTGTAGTTAGTACTACGGTCAGTATTTAATCTGCCTGCCTTTTGTAGTCTAAATCACAGGCTGTAGCAAGCAAGAGCTCAATTTAATAGTAGTCCACAGAGCACGTGTCATGGAATCATATGATAATGACAGTTATTTGCAAGTATGATAACTTGTCCATGGCCTTAAGCTCTCTGGACTCAATCTCAGCAGGCAAGAGGTCTCATAATGATGCTGTCCATCTACCAATTCATATCACAGAGGCTTTTAAGCTGTTACAAGTAATGATGAGCAGATTAGAAAATTCCGGGCCCATGACGGAATCCATTACTTTTCAGGTACGGTACTGTGCAGAAGTCAGAGACTTCATTTATTTAATTTCCAGTCAAAACAGACATTATGAACAAGTTATTATTTTTTCAGGAGATATTTCTGAGGATTTATATATAAAATAATCCGCTTGCATAAGGAAGGAGAAATTCAAAGGAAGAGAAGTGAAAAAACAGTTGATTGCCAATCAGGTTGATTGTATAATATTGATCTTGTATTAGGCATTAATCTGGCTGAAATACGTTTAAAATGTTACTCAGTGCTAAGGTTCTGAAAGAGTGTGCAGCTGTCAAGAAGCCGTTACTTAGCAAAGGAAAAAAGACAAAAAGCAAGAAAACAGTGATGCTGCTGGACGGACCACCCCAAAGGCCAGACCTCAAACTCACTGAGTAAGTTTGGGATTACTTAGATCTCGAGAAGCAGAAAATGCAACCGACTTCAAGGGGGATATTAAATGCAGGTTGGAACAGAACTGTATGGATTTAGGAGGGTTGCTGAGTAATGCTTTAATTCAAAAAGAATAATTTACACAATATTCCACTTCTTTGGTTAAATTTTAAAAAGGTATAATACATAAAGTAAGAATTTAACCATTTTGCATAATTAATTTTCAATGTGAAATATGCTGCATGTCATAATATAAAAAAGGGGATGTAAAGCATGGAGCTCTGTGCACTCACTTCATGTTGTTTTTGTTATTTCAGATGCTTCATTGGAATTAATCCAACATCAGGCACCAAGATGACCACCACAGGGGTTGTGTACAAGAAAGGCGGAAAGATTTCTGAGAAAACGAATATAGTCAACCCCTGCTGTGTTCTTCTACTGGACTTCTGAACAGCTATGTAAGTGCGTACTGCATGCAAAGCTCTCAAAACAAGGAGCAAACCATTCTATGTGGACTTCATGGACATGCAGGTTGTCCCACTTGTTCATATGTTTGGTCCTGGCAGTGTTGGTCAGTGTTTTCTTCTCAGTGATTTAGTAGCACTGTGCAGTTAATATGCAGGGTTACTGATGCTGGTCTAGTTAAGTTGGTTTGACAAAAAAACAGCTTGTATAACATTTTAAACTTCTAAACTTATGTTCCTCTTTTTTGCATCTCTCTTTTTCATATTCTCCATCTGACCATTTTCCTGCTATTTCCATTGGACATTTTTCCCAGACGGCTTTAATTCTGACACATGGTGGTGTTTGTGAACCATGTGAAAAATGGTAATACTGAGACACTTAAAGGGCAATTCTGCTGAGTTTTCAACATTTCTGCAGAATGAAATCATTGAGATTTAAAGTCATTCAGGATGGTTTATTGTAGTCAAACAGTGATTTTTTACTGTAGTGTTTCTTCATAATGGACCATTTCATATCAAACCACTCTGAATCACTGTGTTAACATTTTAAAGACTGAATTATGCAGAAATTCTGAAAAATCTGTGGAATTTCCCTATACAAGATCACTGCTGTGCTGATTAAAGTGATGCTTTGTTCAGTCTTGTTAAGTTGGTTTTCAAAAGCCCCAATGCTGTTCTAGCATTAAGGCCTTCTAAAGCCTTGGGTACACTACAGGACATTTCAAGTTTTTGGGCGACTGAAATATTGGGGATCACACACTACTCAACTTTTACGCTGCAGCTGAAACCGAGCAAACTCACTGAACTTGCGCAAACTCACGTGAACCCACATGTTCTCCCATTACAAGAAGACCCAAATAAACAATTGTGGAGCAGCTCGCTGCTGTTTCCTCACTGAGTAAAGAAGCAGCAGGTAAACATGTTTAAGTGAGGCTCATGGATTTAAAAATGTGATCAGTCTGGTATTTTTTAGAGATTTAAATGTACATAAACTCGACTGTGCTTGTGTCTCAAACTCAGCTCATTAAAAAGCTTCGCTCCACACGTGAGTGACTTTTTGCCATTTCACCTTTTCTTTGTTTACTTGCTGTATTTTCTTCTTTCATGCTCTCCGTTTTCATTGGCAGTTGCAGGAATCCATTGAGAGTCTGTCAACGTCTGAAACACGATCAAGAGGCCAAAAATCTGAGTCTGCACCTCTCGCATACTACTTGATTCTCTCTCCAACTGTCGACTCTGACTGACCCAAAATCTGCAGACTAGAGCCAACTAGCACAGCCTTGGCCAGACTGAGAATCAGGGCTAAAATGGGAATAAAATAGTAGTGTAACCCAGACTTAAATTAATTTTTAAAATTCTATTTTTAATAGTGTTTAAGTTTCAGCTTGTTTTCTTTTAGAAATATCCAGTGCCCTGCCCCCTCCATCTGGCCATTTTCCCTGTAAACTTCCAACAGTTTTTCCAAAGTGTGCTTACACATAAGCCAAAGTTGGATGTTGTAGGGCTGAGACTGTACTTATTAGGACTTGTGTGTTCTGATTCTGTGTTCTTTGCTTCTATATGCATAATAGCATTTTTAATAAATGTTTTAATATACCTAACTTTGAAACAGGTGATTTATTTTGTTTAATTTTTACCGTGGTTTACTCAACGTGGTTTGCTCAACGTAGATTTATAGGATATGGCTAGAATATATATATATATATATATATATATATATATATATATATATATAATATATATATATATAATTTTTTCACTTTAAATATAATTTACTGTCTTTTTAGGGATTTTACAGAACTTTATTAGCAACTCTTCTTGCCGGTAAGCTACTTCATATAAATATGGATTACAACAAATTGCTTTGAACTGGATTACAGGTAAAACTAATAGTTACTGTAAAAAATACAGTAAAATTTTGTAATTTAACTACTGAAAAAGTGTAACTTGGTATCCAGTGGCATCCTATAATGCTTCTTACAGTAATAACACTGTTTACAGTACTTTATTGGCAACTTTTTTGATGGTTATTTACAGTAAAATCTACAGTAAATCTTTTACAATGTTGGTGTTGGAGTGATAGAAAATTGAACCTGTCCTGTGGTGTTTGTAGAGGTTTAGCTAAGCTAACAATATCTTAGTTTGCTTGCCTCACACCACAGCATGGGCTTGAATTCAGCTAACTGATGCTAAAATGAAATCAGTTTAAAGGGTACACTGGACTCCTCTCCTCATTATTGTTTAGGTGTTTCAGCTGTGCTAATTGCCAACAGGTGTATAAAGTCCAGCACATAGCCATACAATCTCCATAGACAAACACTTGGAGTAGAATGGGTTATACTAAGAGCTGAATTGCTTTAAGATGCCAACTTTGCAAATTTCTGCGCTGCTATATTCACCCTACTCAACTGTAAGTGCTATTATTGTGGAATAAAGGTGTCTAGAAGCAACAGCAATGCAGCCACGAAGTGATAGACCAAAGAGGGGCACTGGGAGCTGAAGCATGTAGCATGTAAAAACCCTATCCTCTCTTGCAGCTCTCACTTCAGAGTTCCAAACTGCCTCTGGAAGCAATATTACCACAAGAACTGTGCAACAGGGTCTTCTTGAAATGGGTTTCCATGGCTGAGCAGCTGCACACAAGCCTAAGATCACTATGCACAATGCCTAGTGTTGGCTGGAGTAGTGTGAAACATGCCACCACTGAACTCTGGAGCAGTGGAAACGTGTTCTCTGGAGTGATGAATCAGGTTTCACTATCAGGCAGTCTGATGGATGAATCTGGGTTTGGTGGATGCAAGAAGAACACTACCTACCAGAATGCATAGTGCCAACAGTAAAGTTTGGTGGAGGAAGGATAATTGTCCTGGGGCTGTTTTTCAGGGTTTGGGCCCCTTAGTTCCAGTGAATGGTAATGTTCATGCTACAGCATACAAAGACATTTTAGACTATTATATACTTAACTTTGTAATAACATTTCCTAATTTGTTTCCTGTTCCAGTGTGACTGAGCTGCTGTGCACAAAGTGAGGTCCAAAAAGACTTGGTTTGAAGAGTGTATCTGTTAGCCTGCTGTGTCTCATCCACTCAAACCAAAACCATGCAAGCTAATTGCATTTGCAGCAGTAGGTGTGAACATGGCCAGTGATGTAGCACTAACAGCTTCCCTCTCTGGAACAAAAGGAACATCGCTTATTTTGGTGGTGCAATCAGCACGATTAGAGGAACGGTGACTTGCAGCTCTACAGTGTTAAAACAAGAACCCACCGAGTTCTCCACTGAGTACAGCATGATGGTGATGAAGGTCGCAACGATAAAGATGAAGCTGTTGGTGCTGGTGTTGGCAGCCCAGCTGCTGAAGGTGAACTCGAATGAAGACATTGATGAAGAAGCTATTGAAGAAGTTTTTGTAGAACTAAATAGGCGCATTCAGGAGGTGAAAAAATTCTGCAGCATGCAAGGTAAAGTTGACTTTTGTCATCTATGTTAGTGGTGCTTATTCTGAAATTCTATTGAAAGGAATAAAAAATGACGTTTTTTGTGATATTGCTGATCATAACATGTTTCCCAAATGTTTTGTAGGGTGGTTTTTAGTATATAAATTTGTGTTTTGTCCAGTTCCACCACTTGAGCATATCTGTGGACGTATGGAATGCTTTTTATCCCAACTCGTTTTTAGTATCCAATGTACAACATTCCAACAAGAGAACAGATCTTCGTCACTCCTAATGATAACAGTAGGAAAAGAAACTGCTGAAGAAAAGTGTAACACAGCAGTAGTGCACTAGTAAATATCCCCCTGGCCATCGGTAATAAGGGTTCCATGCTGGCTGCCATCTCACTTGCTAGTTTTAATGAAGCAAACTGTTTGGTTAACAGTTGTTTGATTAGTGATGCACCGAAATGAAAATGTTTGACCAAAAACTGAAATTCAGAGCACACTAAACTGGAAACTGTAAGAGAAAGTAAGAGTTCTTTTATGTGTAATTTGCCATTTATGCGCTTTGGAATTAATGCCTATGATGCTTCAAATGTGATAAATGCCATGCTAATAAAGAGAACTGATAGATGACTAACTAGATGACTAATTTAATTTTAAATGGCAAAATAATATTAAATATTAATGGTGACATTATAAGGATATAATACTTGGTTACATATAAACATGGTTTGCCAAAGGCACCTCAGCTATAATGACAGATAACACTTAGTGTTTTAAAACACTGGGGTCCAAAAGTCTGAGATATAGGAGTATTTTCATTTAATCCAATGGAAAGTTCGAAAAATTTGAAAAGTTATGACGAGTAAAAGGAAGAAGAAATATTCAAGAGTTTGCATCTATTTCTAGGTCACTATTCAAATTGGTGCCACCGAACATGTTGAGGCCTTTGTACAAAAATGTCTGATCGCTTCCATTAAAACTCAGGTTCAGACGAATCTCAGGTGGATTTGATCTACCATTCAGAGACTTTTGTCACTGTTAGTGTTTAGAGTCCATGCCAGCTCCGTTGCACACTGTCATTAAAGCAAAAGTGTGACAAATAATAAGAAATTCTGAATTTCAAGTTAAAATTTTTAAAATTCTACTGTTCCCTCAGATTGTTATGTTGCTAATACAATTTGTAATGAAAAACTTTGTATTAAATTAGAGAAGAATGCAACATAGAAGCATTTTCATAAGTAGACTCTGTAAAATGTGTTATTGAATAATACAAACCCCATTTTCCAGAAAAGTTTTGTAAATGTAATAATAAGAATCTGTAATTTGTGAATTCTCTTGAACCATTACTTAACTGGCAAAAGTACAGAGAAATTAGTTTTAATCTTTCGGCTGATCAACTTGATTGTAATTTGTAAATATAAACATTTTTTTGCCTGCAACACACTTAAAACAGTTGTGACAGAGGGAAAATAAGAGTGAAAGGTTTACAGAATATTTACGCTACACCATTTTAAAACATCCAGTTTCCAGTTATCTCAATTCCTGAGTCCAACTTACCCCAAGACAGAGGTAAGGCCGAGTCTAAATGATGTTGAGGTCAAAACAAGACCATTAATCCGGAGTCTGGACTGGAGTAGCTCAACACTAGCAAAAACTTAGTTTGGCTTAGAGTATTTAACCCTTGTTAAAGTTAGTGCTCTACATGTTAAAATAAATTTGGTCCACTGCTGGTCAAACTTTCTTTCATCATGATTCTTTCTGTGATGAAAGAAAGTAGAGAAGAGCACAAGCAAGAAAATCACCATAAGTGATGAGTGGTTTTCATGTAATCTTTCTAAGAATCACTCTATTTCTCTAATATAACAGCATTACTTGTATTCTGTGGTGGCAACTAATAGAGATTGGGCTTCGATTTGGTCCATAAAAGTCAAAACACAAGAAAAAAAAACCCTTAATACCAATGCTAACATCTGTTAGCCTCCTTATAGGATTCTAGTAGTTTGTTAGCGCTAAGCTAACAGCGATGTAACTGCTACAGTCTTTAAGGTGGAATGGAAAGTTTGTTGGCACCAGATTGTAACTGAAAATTCGAAAAATTTGGCCTTCTTTTCAGCTTCTAACCAGTCCGAAGCAATAGAAGAGCTCGCCTTGCTATATCTACCTAGATCCCACAGAGAAAAAGAATTCCTGACCGGCCAATTTTCCAGTGGCTGTTTCAGGAATTTAACCCATTTTTCCCATCCTATACTTTACAATGTTACAAGGGTAGTACTGTAATACCTGCACTGTCATACCTGCACTGTAATACCTGCAGGGTTTACACACAAGCAAAACTCTATTGAATGAAAATGAGCTTAAAGTAACGGACATGCATTTTTAGTTCATATGAATGTGTTTGCATTTGTTTCATGTTCCATGTATGTGTTTTCAATGTGTAGTGAGTGCAGTGAAACAAGTGGCGTTCTCCGCAGTTCTGCACCCTCCTAAAACTAGTGGGCTCGGAATCATAGGACCCTTTTCCGACATCGCCAACCTCGTACACCCCCATGTCATCACCAACACTGGCGGTGCCTACAAGGCGCATACAGGTAATCTTTATCCACAGTTCGGATCTTTATCAGTTTATACAGACAGAATATATTGTTTCTTCAGGAAATGCAGTTTTCCAGTTGTCTAGTAAAATTTGCAGGAATATTTCAGATTAAAGTTTGTTCCATGCATTTTTCAACAAAATCAACAAAATGTTGGTGAAAATGAATAGAAATAGGTGTTGATCTTCATAAATCGGGCAATGGCTATAGAAAAATAGCTAAACACCTGAAAATGTCCATATCCAGCGTTATGATAATGTAATGATAATAAAATTTAAAACAACCAGAGTTGTAGTGAACCTTATTGGAAAAGGACACAAGTGTATTTTAACCCCACTCACTGTAAAGAGGATGGTTAGAGGTTTGCAGAAGATGGTAGCATTTTCGGGGACACCGAGTCTACAAAACCAAATTTAGGCTACATTTACACAGCAGGTAAAAGTGGCCCAAATCTGATTTTCTTACCAAATCCGATTTTTTTTTGTTTGGCTGTTCACATTATCTTTTAAATGTGACCTGTATGGGACATTAGTCTGAACAGATCAGCTGACCCGCATGCGCAAAAGAACAGTGCTTCACGTGGCGGCTCATCTAAGGGTAAACAGTCATGACGGCCAGCGAACACCAGTCGCTCCCGCAGCTTTCAGCTTCATCTTCGCCAGCATCACAGGAGCGAGTGTAAAGTTCCAATGACTGACAGCTGGACTCATCACCCACAATGTGTTCGCCGAAAAAAGGGCACGTTATTCGGCCACGGCCACTTCTTTGGTTCGTGTCCTCGGATTCTTTAAACTGTTCTCTGACGCTGCAGCCTCGGGCTCCTCCGGCTGCGTTCGGCCTTTCGTTTGAACACTGAGCGGTTGCGATGAGTCTCTTATAACGTTTTAGTACAGAAACATCAGACTCAATGTTTATGAGTCTCAGCAGCGCGAAATTATGATGAATGTCGGGTTGTACTGGCGTAAAAGTCGCATGAATTCCGATCTGGCTGTTCACACATAAAAGCTTTTTTGCCATGTCATCCTGCATTATTTCAAAATCAAAAAAGAAAAAGTATTTTGTCTACATGATCACCAAATAAGTGAACACAGTGCATGATATTCAAGCATCATTTAATAAATGTCTATCCATTTATCAAACAATTACTAAATGTTAACCAATGCTGCAAACTAGGAGAGAGGAGCTGGTTAGCATTAGCTTAGCTATAGCATGATAACAGCTCTGCTCACTACAGCTCTGCCTAACTAATGTACCACTCAAGTTTAGATGGTAATGATTCAAATCTGAGGGAGTGAAGCCGAGGCTAATCATAGTTTATAAATGCTTAAACATTTTTAATGTAAAAGAACGCATTTATATCCTGGACACAGAACAGCATAAAACATTTTAACACTGCTGTTAAACTCGAGATATAGGGATTTAAAATGGTGCCTCATGTACGTCCATGACATCAGTGAGCGCAAACAGCCAATGAACTGCTCCGCCTACCAATCAATCATCACGCTCTAGCAGTAAAGCCCGCCTCCTGCTGCCCAAAACCTATTTGCTATAGAAAAAAGGAAATATATAGGTAAGATTTCATTGTTTTTTTTTGTAAAATACATGGTTCTACTTTCTAAAATTAAAGAAACTGGATTTTCGTTCTGGACAAATGATTAGAAACTATTTTTTAACTTTTCGTTTTTAGCCATTGAGTGCCATTTACTCCCATTCATTGAGGACTCCCTCGTGGGCGCCCTCTGCTGTTCAGCAGTCCTGTTTTTGATATAACGGGGGGAATAGGAAGTGGCCAGGCTCCTCATAAACTGGCTCTGGCCACACACCACAGTACAGGTCTGATTCTGACTAACTGCTACTCTGCTGACTCTAGTGTAAATGATTAAAACTAATTTCTGAGAGAGCAAAAGTGGAGTGACTGGTGTCAAACTTGTTCTGTGGTGATTTGGACTATAATGTATTAGCTAAGCTAACAATTAGTTAGCAAGCCAAAGGTGCCACAGGCTTGGTTCCAGCTAACTGATGCTAAGTGATACCCATGTAGAAGATACCTGAGAGTGCAAGGTCAAGTGAGCATCACTTGGTGTAGACGTCTTTAATATGTATGACCTTAATTGCATGGCGATTTTGATGGGTTCTCATTTCATCATTGCTATTAAAAGTTGCTAATCCGCGTTCAGCTGTCCAATGACGTTGCGTGAGCGGCAGCTTGAAAAGAAAGTGGTGGCTGGCTTCACAGGTCTCGGAGGAAGCCTGTGTTAGCTTTCACCCTCCTAGTGTTGATACCATCGTGTGATTGGGGGAGTCCTAACTAGCGGGGTGGAATTGGAGACGACCAAATTGGGGAGAAAATCGGGGTAAAAATTAAAAAAAAAAAAAGTTGCTAATCATTGCTAATCATTGCTACTGACCACTTGGTGTGGCGTAGCTCTGTTATTGCATAGTTTTAGGCCCTTGGTGTATATAATGGTAATATTGTCATGCTCAACATCTAATATTTGTGTTGTGTTTGCAGGCGTGTTCACAGCTCCGGTGAAGGGTGTTTATTTCTTCACCTTCACCACACACAGCTGGGCTAAGAACGCTGACATCGGGGTGGCTCTGTACCGGAACCAAGCGGAGGCGCTGCGGGTTTGCGAGCACCAGGACGACGGGGACAATGGAGATTACGCCACTAACTCGGCCGCTCTGATCCTGGAGCCGGGCGACACTGTGAGCCTCCGTCTGCCAAAGGGCTTCCAGGTGGCCGCCAGCGTGGAGTTCAACATACACACCTTCTCTGGATTTCTGCTCTACCAGCTGTGAGCTGCCAGTGAGGCCTCTCAGCATCTGCAGTCGCTTTCATGAACAGAAAAAAAGGAAAAAGTGCATTTAACCCTTAGAAGTCATCACTATCACTCTCATTTTATTATCCTCTGTAAATATAATTACATAAGAACATATTTAATTCAATTGTTTGTATTTTTAATAGGTTCTTGAGTGATAAACAGTGAATATAAATTAACACCATGCTTTTTTCATCACTGGTGATAATTTCTACTTATACAGGTTCAATCTTGCATGATGACAAAAGTGAATCTGCTCTGCTCAGTACTGTAATGCATATACTCTGCTTTATTAATAAAAATAACCCAAAGGACGTTGGTGATGTCATTGCCTTAATATATAAGTTTCAAAACGGGCTATAGAACTGACTAAATATGTGGCATTAAATAATGATTATTCAGCAAAACCTGAGTCAATTCAAAAACAACACAAGGCTACATGGTGGACTTTCAACTACCTTTATACACAGTTAATCTGGCCAACCTTGACATGTGTATTATGTTTATAAATATTACAGTGACTATGAATTATTAATTGCACCTTTTCTTCCACAAAGAAAAGTCCAGTGCAGAGTAATTGGTGAAAGATTAAGGAGGCTGGAAAGGGCAAGCAGTGCTCCTTACTGAACCAACCATATATATATATATATATATATATACACACACACCAAGTGCCCTCCACAAATATCGCCACCCCCGTTAAACCTGAGCACTTAAGCGAAACAGGCTATAAAAACTTTACTGCTTATCTTTTTCATCTTACAATAAAATATGAACAATTATTTGATGTACAATAATAAAAAAAAACACTTTAGCATGAAATAAATATTTTCTTGAATCTAAGAAAGTGAAATCTAACTGAAATGTATTCCCATTCATATTTTAAGTTCACCTGAGCTATTATTAACTCTTAAATGGTCAGCCACGTTGCATTAAAAACAGACACGATTCTGTAGTGGAAATCACTGCATGGACTCAGGAACACTTCCAAAAACCACTGCCTATGAACACAGTTCATTGCTGCATCCACAAATGCAAGTTAAAACTGTACCATACAAAGAAGAAACCATATATAAACAGTATCCAGAAACACCGCCGCCTTCTTTGGGCCCAAGCTCATTTAAGATGGACTGTGGTGAAGTGAAAAAGTGTCCTGTGGTCCAGCAAATCAAAATTAGATTTTTTTTTTAAATCATGGGCGCTGCATGCTCCAGGCTAAAGAGGAGAGAGACTGTCCGGGTTGTTATCAGTGCACAGTTCGAAAGCCTGCATCTGTGATGGCATGGGGTGCATTAGTGCACATGGCGTGAGTGACTTAAACATCTATGAAGGCTCCATTAATGCCTAACAATAAATATAAACAGGTTTTAGAGCAACATATGCTGCCATCCAGACAACGTCTTTTTCTGTAAAGGCCTTGTTTATTTCAGCAAGACAATGTCAAACCACCTTCTGCACATTATAACAGCAAGGCTATGTAGTAAAAGAGTCTGGGTGCTAAACTGGCCTGCCTGCAGTACAGACCTGTCACCCATTAAGAACATTTGGTGCATCATGAAATGACAAGTATGACAAGAAGACCCTAAACTGTTGAGCAGTTGAAATTGTATATCAAGCAAGATTAGAAAAACATTTCACTTTCGAAACTACAGCAATTGGTGTCAGTTTCTAAATGCTTACAGAGTGTTGTTAGAAGAAAAATTGTTGCAACTTGCCCAACTTTTTTAAAAGGTGGCATCAAATTCAAAATGAGCATATATTTAAAAAAAAAAAAATATTTCTCAATTTCAACATTTAGTATGTTGTCTTTATTACTATTTTCAGTGAAATACTGGTTTTAAATAACACATTGCATTCTGATTTTATTGACATTTGGCACAGCATTACAACTTTTTTGAAAACAGTGTTGTAGAAGCATTTCACATGCCTGGTTCCTATCAATGTGAACAATTCTGACTCTGCAAGTTTCCCTAGAATTGCGTATCTCACATCAACTTTGAATTATGTCTATCTATTTAATTCTGCATTGACATATAAATGGAATTCCCCTTTACCACCATGTCTTTGAAACACAGTCATCAAATCATGAATGTACCAGCTGTCCATACCCATCCTAAATATAGCAGTGTTTAATCCAGAAATAATTTTTAATTCACTCTTAAGTGGCTTTCTTGGAGGGAATTTCTACTGATAGTACAATGCTAATTTCCATTGCCAAGGGAATTTATATGTGACATTGGCATCAAGCTAATTGTGTCTGTTCCTGCTCTACTTAAACATAGAAAATTCAAGCTTGTTACAGACATTTAAGTAACATTTTCTCACTTTGTTTTTAGGAGTGTTACAGTCTCTCTAGAGTTTGGCTGAATGGTAGTACTATTCTCGACTACAGTCAAACGCTATTTCAGTGTTCAATGATTAGCCAGTGAGCATTACTGGTGACCAAGCATTTAGCCCTTTCACACCCAAGTTATGTTCCAGAGCACAATGATGATGATGTTTCTCTATTCTTATTCTAAACATTACAGTATTAATATGTAATAATTTCAAGAGTTATTGCAAGAAAACCTGAACACAATCTAAATTTATAGCGATTTATTTTACATTTCAGGAATTTCAGTTCATAACAAGGAATAGAGTCATGCTTTAAAATGTTACATATTTAGCCACAGAGCTTTTGTTACACGTACTCTGAGATACTGTATACGCATAAATGTATTTCTAGACCATAGATGTGTTTATATCCAGTATGAGTGTTCATGCATGCATTTGTGCTGAGCATGTATTTAATGTATTCCTATCTGACATTGACACTTTGGGAATTTGTAATATGGTAGTACAAAAATTGAGGGACGAGAAAATTTAAAGTGTTGTAGCATTTAAAGTGGGATGGAAAATTTTAAAAAGGCAGTTCTACATTAAACACAGGCATTTAAAGCTTCTATGAGACATTCCATGTTTTACTTGAAGCTTGTGACAGACATAATAGCAGTTTCACAGTAACTCTTTGGAAGGGTTTAGTTGAAAATGGGGTGCATGTGACAGGTTATCTGAACATCTGGTCCTTGCAAAATAGAACAAGCACATGTGTCACACACACATACATTTTAAAGACAGAAAAAGCAGAAGTAGATTGCAAAAGTTCAGCCTGAGTTTATAGCAAAGACAGCAAGGAGAGCAGGTCAAAGATCAGATTTACGTGACTCCACTAAGGATTAACGGCATTGCATTAGAGCGCCGTCTGTACCCTTAGAGCCAAATTAGAGTATAAATTCAGAAACCAGTCACATGGATCCCATAGATACATTATAAGAAAGAGGGAATAGTTCCATATATTATTTACCTGTTTGCAGAAATAGATATGCCTGAGAGCAGCAGCAGTGAACCAATTATCATAGATACAATCTCTAATATATATATATATATATATATATATATATATATATATATATATATATATTTATCACCTATGTTATAACCGCATTACCCAAAACAGGTGGGACGCTATGCAAAATGTAAATAAAAACAGAATGTAATGATGTGCAAGTCATTTAAACCCTATATATATATACTTGAAAACACTACAAAGACAACATATCAAATGTTCAAAATGAGAATTTTTTTTTTGTTTTTTGAAAACATTTTGCCCATTTTGAATTTGATGCCAGCAACACGTCTCAAAATTTGGAACAGGGGCATGTTTACCACTGTGTTTCATCATTTTTTCTTTTACCAACACTCTGTAGGCATTTAGAAACTGATGGGACCAATTGCTGCAGTTTCGAAAGTGAAATGTTTTTCCATTCTTGCTTGATATAGGATTTCAGCTGCTCAACAGTTTGGGGTCTCCTTTGTTGTATTTTTATTTCATTATGCACCAAATGTTTTCAATGAGTGACAGGTCTGGACTGCAGCCAGGCCAGTTTAGCACTTGGACGAATTTTCTAGAGAGCCATGCTGTTGTATAACCTAGAGAATGTGCTTTGGCATTGTCTTGCTGAAATAAACAAGGCCTTCCCTGAAAAAGACGTCATCTGGATGGCAACATTTGTTACTCTGAAACCTGTATATATCATGCCTTCACAGATATACAAGTCACCCATGCCATGTGCACTAATGCACCCCCATACCATCACAGATGCCCGTTTTTGAATTGTGCACTGATAACAAGCCAGATGGTCCCTTTCCTCTTTAGCCTGGAAGGTGCAGCATCTATGATTTCCGAAAAGCAATTTAAAAGTTTATTCTCCGGATCGCAGGACACTTTTCCACTTCTTCATTTTTAAATGAGCTTGAGCCCAGAGAAGGTGGCAGTGTTTCTGTATCCTGTTTATATATGGTTTCTTCTTTGCATGGTAGAGTTTAAACTTGCATTTGTGGATGCAGTGACAAACTGTGTTCATAGACAATGGTTTTCGGAAGAGTTCCTAAGCCCATGCAGTGATTTCCAGTACAGAATCGTGTCTGTTTTTAACGCATGTAGTCCTCTAACATTTTAAGTATTTAATTTTTTTTAAGAGTGTTCTAAATTTACACAAAGTTAAATTTTACACACATATTTTTTTAAAAAAAAACATTCAACAGTTTCTTGACTAGAAAAGGTCCTTTGGTGTCAGAACATGATCAGGGGTGTGATGCCTTGACAAATGTTAAAGTTTGTCCAGTGTCTTTATATGTCTTTGGCAGGGGTTGGTCCTGCTGTACAGTCATGTTGTAGTCCATGTTTCATGAGGTCTCTATTTCTGCGTGACTGCTAGGCCATTTGAAGGATGGAAAAAAGAGAAAAATAAAACTTTATCATCTGTATTCAGGTATGCAAACAAATAATCAAATCAGAAACACAGGATGGAAAAGACCTACATAGTAAGAAGTGAAAATAATACAAAAATGTTGACACTGCAAGATTGTTGTCTCCAGTATTGCACACAGGAGCCAAGTGTTCAAGGAGCTATGGCAAACTGCTAAATACTTAACTAGTATTTGGAAATATACTAATGGCACACTGAGACTATGTAAACAGATATGCTGATTATGTGATTAAAGAGCAAATGGGTAGTACTACAAAAATGATTTTAAAACATTTTTAATGTATTTTTATAGTTCAGTTTGGCAGCACAGACTAGTATACTTAAAATATACCTTAAGGCAAAAATACCACATGACTAGTATATCTAGTACACATGGAACATGACCAAGTACTCATTAGCAGTAATTTAGTACAAATTAGTGGTTCCAAAATAACAAAACTTAAGTATATAACTATTTAAGCACTATCTAAGTATACTTTGCCACAAGGCAAAGTCATGTTATACTTTTTCAGTATACTTTTTCAATCTATTACCTTGAGTAACATCACATTACAGAGGAATTGTCTCTGAAGTAAGTACCCTGACAACTTATTGATGTGATGTTTTTTCCATTGTTATGTCTATTTGATATAGAATTTTCTCATTTACATCAAAATAAGCAAAAGAAGGCTGTTTTGATGTGTGCTTGTGTTTTACACATTACACAACATGGCCAGGCATCACATTTATCACTAGTAACATTATACAGCTAATACAGAATATCTCATTGTGAGCATTATTTCAAGCACACCTCACTGTATGTAGGTTTAACCCATAAGTAACACATATAGTTTAGAAATACTTTGTTAAAGTATAGTTTTAGCATAAAAGCAGTTCATTGTAAGCATAATTTGATGAAGCACTGCTTCAAAACAAAATTAACATATACTTTAAGCATACTTCATTGAAGTACATTGTTAACACAGCAGTAATCAGAGGCATGGACTCGAGTCACATGACTTGGACTTGAGTCCGACTCGAGTCACAAATTTGATGACTTGATACTCGACTCGAGTAAATCGAGAAAACTTGTGACTCGACTTTGACTTCAACACCAGTGACTCGGACTCTGGCATTGACTTGAGTGTCATGACTCGGAAAGACTCGAGACCCAAAGTGGAAGAAACGTGGAGAGTCTGACTGCAGATGGGACTCTCTACACACAGAGAGAATGTGAATAAATTTGTTTCCTGGTGTAATTTAAATAAACAGCAATGTCGTCTGTTACTGTGTTCATGCTCGGCTCATTTTATTTCAGAAGACAAGTGAAGCATTTAGAGCTCAAGTTTGCCTCCCTAAGCGGGAAACAAGCGAAGCATCAACAGCATCAGTGCGCCCTCGCTCAGTGCTTAAAACTCCAGTCTTACTGGAGAAATTCACCAGGCGACCAAACCGTTTTCCTCAAGGTAGCAAAACAAAAGAATCAGCTCTGTCTGTTTGACCAATTTTAACAGCTTCTGTGGGTAAAACAAGCGCAACATTCACCACGAGGCTGAAGCTGACTTTTTTTCGCCAGCTTCTTATTTGAATTTTCCATTCCACCTTAAATGGTGCAGCAGTCAGGCGCTGGAACGTAACTGCTGCACCATTTAAGGTGGAATGGAAAATTCAAATAAGAGGCTGGCAAAAAAAAGTCAACTTCAGCCTCATATTTTCACCATCATTTTGTTGTCTTTTCTGTAAACTTTGTTCACCTCGTCTAAATTTGTCTAAATTCAATTGAAACTAGCAGTTGTTTTTAGTTGGCTAAGTTAGTTTTAGTGCTGAGCTAGTCTTTATTTTAATCCTATGCGTCCAACGTTCCCAAAAATCATCCAAAATTATCTTTAAAAATAAATTTCAATAGTACTTTTAAAATTCTTTGCATGTGTAGTTGTACTGTACTTTGTGTATACAGAATGCCTGTCATGGTTATCTGTGTACCATGGATTTTGTATTTAGTTGGAAATGTGAAAAAAGTCTGTAGTACTGTTATCATTATTCAGTGTTATGGCCTTAAATTAGCTGAAGAATGCAGACTGACTTGTTTAGTACTCAAAGATTAGGACTATTGACTTGGGACTTAATTTGAAACGCATCTGTACTGACTTGGGACTTGAATCGAGACTCGACTATTTTGACTGGAGACATACTTGTTACTTGCAACTTATTAACTTGCTCCTACCTCTGGCAGTAAGGCTCCTAGGCACTTTGCAAAAGTATAGCTTGATCATAAAGCATCCTATATATGTATGTATGTAGTTTACGTAGACTTAGATCAGACTTTTTCACGAGGGCATGTTACTGTTGCCCATTTACCTAATTAGTTGTGAGATGTTACACTAGCTGTTTTTTTAGCATTATAAAACTTTACTGATCTTATGTTTCCCCTGTCTCAGCTATTTTAAAATGTGTTGCTGGCATCAAATTCAAAATAGATGTATATTTTTTTAAAAACCAATAAAATTTTCTCAGTTTCAACATTTGATATGTTTCCAATTAAAAATAGGCTTTGAATGATTTGCACATCATTGCATTCTGTTTATATTTACACTTTGCACAGCGTCCCAACTTTTTTGCAAATGAGGTTGTCTCTGTGTTAAGAACTTAACCTTAGACAGCAGCTGATGGCAAATTGATTGGATGGTTTATATTGCCCAATGTTTAATCTCGTTTAATACGTTTAATCTCAAAACGTTGCACAACAGTTTGCAACGGTTTCCGGGTTGAATGACATGTTTCATCGAAATGGTGCGAACCGGTGCGCAACGGGCTTTGAGGCAGGTTTTCTCTCATTTTGTGGAGCATGGCAGAGATGTTACCCAATCAGCAGTGACATATGACCTTGCCATGTTGAGAAGGCAGTGCACACAATGGATCGTAAAGTCCTCTACAAATGCGGCTTCTACAGCTTGGTGTTTGAAACTGCTGAAGATGTTTGAGACGTATGTTAAAGTATTAAACACACGTCTAACCCCAGTTACAACACTTGCATACACACAACACAGTGTTCAATGCACCGCCATTTTAAATAGAAGATATTGTGCTGTTTTAATGACAAAATCAAATTAAATCAAATTAAAGGCAACCCTAAATTGTATTGCCGTATGCACTGTTCCTCATAAGTGAACAAGATCCTGCTTATTTTTGGCTGGAGATCAAGAATCATTTTTTTCTTTTCAATCTTTTAGTGAGCTCTGATAAACAGCTGCTGCTGCTGTTTTCCTTTTCATAACAACCCACTGGTTAGGCTGCCTATTTCAGTGGCATATCTAGACCTTTCAGAGCCCTGGAGTAACACTTTTGGTTCTGCCTACTGCAAAGCAAACTGTGATTGGTTGATTCCTCTGTCACTTCATAATCATGCTGTTAGTTAGTCTAACACGTTAGGCCTTCTCTTCAGCTCTTGAAGTCCTAACCAATAGGAGAGCTCGCTTAGCTACATCTAGCTAGAAACCTTAGAAAAAACTATTTGATTGATCCAGATTGGCCAATGTTCTCCTCAGCATTTCAAGAATTTAATGCTTTGACAAACCACTGATTAGGCTGCCATTGTATTCATAGTCTATGAGGTATCTAGAACTTTCAGAAGGCCTGGAGTGACGAATTTGGTCCAACCTACTGGAAATCAAAATGTGATTGGTTAATTTTCTGTCACTTCATAATTATGTTTGTAGTTAATGTGTTTGGCCTTCTCTTCAGCTTCTGAAGTCTAACCAGTAGGAGAAATCGCTTCATCTACCTAGATACCATGGAGAAAAACAATGTCAGATTGGTCAAATTTTCTCCTTGATGTTTCAAAAATTGAATCCTCCTCTTTCTATCTAAAACCTTACAGTGAAACAAGATTAGAACTTTAATACTTACATAGTTCATATATATAAAAATGATTCTATTGAATTAAAAATAAGCTAAAAATTATAGATGTGTATCTTTTTAGTTCCCAAAAATTATTAGGTTTTCTCCAAAGGCCTTGAAGGTTGAGGGTTCTCATCTGAAACAAAACAATTTCATATTTTGGGCAGTCAGTTTTCACCTTGGGACAGATGACAGTATTTTTCAGGATGGTTCTGAAAATATTAATTGAACTTTTATGTGTTTTATGAAATTGTTGTTTCATAAAAGCAAGCCACTCAAGGCTGAACGTTACAGTGGTTTTGTCATGGGTAAGGGCAGTTCCCCTTATATTTGTTGGAATAACTGTAACTTTATGGATTGCTTGGATGTTGTAGGATGAATTATAATGAAAATGCTAAGACAAGTGTATCATTGCGTTGTTGGAAAGACGTATTCTTCACGCATCTCTGCTGTTGAGCGAAGGCTTAAAAGTTACAAACAAACTTCCTCATTCGGAAACAAATTTGCAACAGTAGTTGTGAACATGCATTTGTACAGGCCAGTGATGTAGCACTAACAGCTTCCTTCTGTGGAACAAAAGAAACATCGTTCATTTTGGTGGCGCAATCAGCGCGATTAGAGGAACGGTGACTTGCAGGTCTACAGTGCTAATATAAGAACCCACTGAGTTCTCCACTGAGTGCTCCACTGAGTGCTCCATGATGGTGATGAAGATCACAGTGATAAAGATGAAGCTGTTGGTGCTGGTGTTGGCAGCCCAGCTGCTGAAGGTGAACTCCATCGAAGAAGAAGACATTCTTGAAAAAGTTTTTGAAGAACTAAATAAGCGCATTCAGGCGGTGAAAATATCATGCCAAGGTAAAGTTGACTTTTGTCAGCGCTCTTACATCATAATGTCCTTTGCAAAGTAACTCACAGTGTCTATTTTATCTGTTGTCTCTTGACAAAGGTAACGTTACTTCAAAGCCTTTGGTAGTGAAATTGAACATGTATTTGCCTTTATTACTGTGTCAGATTTGAGTTAAAAGTGTTTGTAACACTACATCACATTCGTCTTGATATTTAAATGCGGTTTCCTGCTGTTGGAACAAAACCTTCTAACTTTACAGGAGAAGGAAAAAACATCTAATGTAATTCAATGGAAACAGACTTTTTTTCAAGTAATTCTGGGCCATTTCTTTTGGTCCATTTATCATGAATGGACAGACAATGTAAAGAGCAATAGGCACTTTCAAATTATGTCAAAAACCGAAAAACAATAGACATGAGGATACAAGGTTTTGTTTCCGACAGCAGCGCAGATTTGTGTGTCGGTAGTGCAGCTGGTATCTGTGATGTGGTATCAGTTGGTGATGTGGGGTGGAAATACTAGTTTATTTCCCTGCTGAAAAAAAACAGCACAGACCAACATGAATTCCATATTGGTTTTAGCTGGTTTATGCTGGTGTGGTGCTGGTTAGCTGGTCATTCAACATGGTCATGCTGGTTAACCTGCAAACTAGCATTCAAAACACAATGTTGGTTTGCTCCTGACCAGCAAACCAGCATGCAAAACATGGTGTCATGTTTCAAAAATAACAGAAAAAGTTATCTCAGTTTTTTCATTTTTCATTTTTCTACATCATTTGAGCACAGAGGCTGCCTGTTACGCTGATCTTTTATGATAAATCGACAAACAGAAATGCTCTAAAATTGCTCGGAGTACAATCTTTTTACACAACTTGCATTAAAATTGAAGAACATTTTTTCCTTTTACCATTTTGGAGATACTCATTTGATATGCTGGTTTTGCTGGTGACCAGCCATGCTGGTCTATGCTGGGTTTTCTAGCAGGGTGTGGCAGTTTAGATCTGTAACATGATGGTTTGCACGCCGCATTTCGTGAACTGTTGTTACAGTGTCTGTCATTATGGGTACGAATCTAGTTTTTACAAGACAGAAAACTGCACCAGCATATGTTTTGAATGCTGGAATGGTGGTCAACCAACATGACCATGTAGGGTGATCAGCCAAACCAGCACCAGACCAGCATATATCAGCATGGATTTCATGCTGGTCCATGCTGTTTTTTCAGCAGGGATTTCCAGTCAGCAGAGCCCCTACTGAATGAATCATGGCCATGAATTAATATACTGAAGCTATAGTAGTAGTGACATTAGGCAAAAGTCAATATCTCCATGAGTTAAAATGTTTAACCATCATCAACCCAAAAGAAATACTGTATTCATCCTGTCATCATTTCAAGCGGCTGCAGCCAAAGTCATCAAAATTGACAAAATAAACGGTAACACTTTCTATGAATGTCACGTTTGTAAGCATCTATAAACACATTTATAACATGTAATAATGCATTCATACAGCATTATAAACATGGTTATAAACATTTATAAAAATGAATTACACTTTATAGCCATGTTTATTATACATTATAAATTGTTAATATAATGCATTATAAGTAGTGTTGATAACATGTTATACTGTCAGTGCCAAAGAAGTCAGTTCCAGCTTGGAGAGTGTAAAGTAAAAACAAATACCAAGCTAACGGTGGTGTACATTACCTTTCCCACATTGGGTAAAACACTGATGGCAGCACTAGTTTAAACTCTGACATTTGAAGCCTGTAATGTGCTTTATTGTGTACGTTGAAGTGTTTCAGTAAATTCTTCAGTAAATACTTCAACTTGAAGCCTCACTCTTAACACTGGAGGAGGCTTTAGTACAGTACGCTTCACTTTACTTAGAGCGGACAAATACGACTTATGAGCTCTTATAATTTGTTATGATCAATACTTATAATGTATTATGTTAACAATTCATAATGCATAATAAGCATGGCTATAACATGTAATGCATTTTAATAAATATTTATAGCCATGTTTATAATGCCTTATGAATGCTTTATAACATGTTATGAATGTGTTTATAGATGCGTACAAAGGTGACATTCATAGAAAGTGTTTGTTGTTGTTACCAAATAAACATACAAATAAACAAACAAACAAATAAATAAATGTATTTATGTATCTAATCTTTATATAAGTTAGTTTCCAGAATTCTGTTATGCACTTTCTCAAAGACACATGCAGCTGTTTTCTCCATTAGTGAACATTTTTGTCCTAGTCTTTATTTTGTCTGCTGTCTACTGTTGTTTCTTGTATACTCCTGCTCCTCTGTTTGTTTTGTTGATTTGTCTTATTTGTTTTGTGTATGTTACTTTTGTTTTTTGCTTGTTATAGTATTTGATGCCATTGCTTATTAGCTATTTGTTTGTTTTTTGTTTGTGTACAGTTGTATGGCTTTCAATGAGTGCATGTTATATAGTAGGATAGTTGTGATTATTGTAAGAAGTATGTGATTTTTAGCTTTTACCTCCTCTCCCTTAAGAGGCTTTGCCTTTTGCCAGGCCGCCATTGTAAATAAGAAAACATTCTTAATGACTCGCCTGGATAAATAAATAAATAGATGAAAACAAATATAAAACAAAAAATAAATTTAGGGTCATCAGATTTTTTAACATGTTACTTTATTCCCCTTTTGGTCAAGTTTTATGCAGCAACAGCAGCAACAATGCTATTACTTTAGATCTTATGGGGTAACTAATTATTGCATATTTTATTATTTATTAAGCATTTTATTATTGTACTATATTTAGCTGTATAGGCCATGCATTACGCATCATATAAGTCCTTGTTAAAACATTTTACTGTTTTAATTGGTGTGCAGAAATGTGCATTACTGGTCATTATTGTGGTTTACCACCAAAGTGAAAAATATCTGTGTAAATAAATGGTAAATAAACAACATCATTTAGAGTGGTTTGGTGTGAAATTCTCCACTGTAGAAAAACTTACAGTCAGAACTGTTCACAGTGGTGGCGATAGGAACCAGACGTCTGAAGAGTTTAACTTCTCTAAAAGCAACATCACAGAAAGTTATTAGGTAAAATAATAACAAATATGCTGCCTGAGACATAGATTTTACAATTTCATTTCCAAAAAAGTTGGGATGTTGTAAATGAAATCAGAAAGCAGTGATTGGCAAATCATTTAAACCCTATATTTAATTGAAAATAGTACAATAATAATAAAATGTTGAAACTGAGAAATTTAATTGTTATTTGAAAAATACATGTCCATTTTGATGCCAGCACCACAAAAAAGTTGGGACAGCAACAAAAAAGTTGGGACAAAGACTGATAAGTTGTGTATTGCTAAAAAAACAACTGATGAAACATCTCACAACTTATTAGGTTAATTGAAAACAGCTCAATAACATGACTGGGTATAAAAAGAGCATCGCAGAGAGGCTGAGTCTTTCAGAAGTAAAGGTGAGGAGGGGTTCACCACTCTGTGAAAAACTGTGCGTGCAAATAGTGCAACAATTCAAGACTAACGTTTCTGATTGTAAAAGAGCAAAGAACTATTGTATTTTATCATATATGGTACATAATATCATTAAAGATCCAGAGAATCCAGAGAAATCTCTGGACGCAAGGGACAAGGCAAAAGACCAGTATTGGCTGGCTGTGATCTTTGGGCCCTCAGGTGACACTGCTTTAAAAACAGACATGATTTTGTAGTGGAAATCACTGCATGGGCTCAGAAACACTTCTGAAAAACACTGTCTGTGAACACAGTTCATTGCTGCATCCACAAATGCAAGATAAAACGCTACCATGCAAAGAAGAAACGGTACATCTAAAAACACTTCCACCTTCTCTGGGCCTGAGCTCATTTAAGATGGACAGAGGCGAATTGAAAAAATGTCCTTTTGGTCTGATTAATCAAAATTTGCAATTCTTTTTGCCAATAATGGATGCCACATTCTCCAGGCTAAAGAGGGGAGGAACCATACGGGTTGTTATTAGTCAGTACACAGTTCAAAAGCCAGCATCCGTGATGGTATAGGGGTGCATTAGTGCACATGGCAGGGGAGACTTACACATCTGTGAAGGCACCATTAATGCCGAACGATACATTCAGGTTTTGTAGCAGCTGAAATCCTATATCAAGCAAGAATAAGAAAACATCTTATTTTCAAAACTTGTTGTTAAAAGAAGAGGTGATGCAGCACAGTGGTAAACGTGCCCCCGTCCTAACTTTTTCTTAAAATGTGCTGCTGGCATCAAATTCAAAATGGGAATATACTTTTCAAAAATACAACATTTATCAGTTTTAACGTTTGATATGTTGTCTTTGTACTATTTTCAATTAAATATAGTGTTTAAATGATTTGCACATCATTGCATTCTGTTTAGACCTAGTGACCAATGGTTTCTATTACCACCACTGAAAGAAATCAGAGTATGTGTGTTTCTCTAGAACAGAGCATCTCACATCAAACCACTCTGAAGGACTGTGTTTAAATCTCAACCACTGAATTATGCAGAGTTTATGAAAAATCAGTGGAATTTTCCTGCAGCCCTCCTACATATAGCAACACTGACTGGATTCAACACCCAGATCCTGGTATCAGTTTCATCAGCAATTGCTTAGTTTACCCTGGAAGTGTGAGGCGCTCTGTAAAAATGAATGTTGTCATTTTTCGTTTTGTGAAAACAGAATTTGTGCCTGACGGATCGCAGTGTACTGCTATAAACAATGTTAACCCTTGTGTGGTGTTCATGTTTTTGTTACTCAGTGGTCTGGTGGACCCACTGCATTATTTTTTTTTTAAATCAACCACATTGTTATACAGCCATAACAATTTATGTAAAAATACCAGATGTTTAAAATATCACAAGTGCCCAGCATAGGGTTCTCCTTTAGCAGCTGTAGCCAGTCAGCAGATGTGTTATTTAATATGTTCTTCACAGAAAATGAGCAAAAGCCAAGGAATCTGAGGTTGAAATAATAATAATAATAATAATAATAATAATAATAATAATAATCCGCATCATTTTTTCTTTTGGTGAAACATTGAAAATGGGTCCCACAGATCCCAACACCACACAAGGGTTAAACTGCACTGCAGGCACATGAGTGTATTTAATATCAGGACAGTTATAAGCACTGTTGGCCTTATACTGAGGCCATTGGTTTCATGTTCTATGTGTTTTCACTTTGATATGCAGTGAGAAAAGTGGTGTTCTCCGCGGCTCTGCAGCCTCCTGTTGTTACGAGTAGTGGGTTTGGAATAATAGGACCCTATTCCAACATTTCCATGCTCATACACAGCCACATCATCACCAACATTGGCAATGCCTACAACCCAAATACAGGTAATCTCCATCTACAGTTCAGAACATTTTATTGAGCTCATGAAATGTCAATATTATTTTTTTTTTACCATAGAGGTATTAGATTTGGGGATGTCCAGTTCCAATCCTTTGTTTCTCTGTTTATTCTGCTGTCATAGAAGAGCCAAAAATCAACAATATCCACAACCTGCAGCTGTGTGGAGCATTTGTGTTTTAACCATCTGCAGTTTAAGGGCAATTTCTTTGCCTTTAAAGCCTCTAGCATATAACGTGATGGCCATATGTTTCACATCAAAAGCTATGGATGCACCAATGTGGAAGGAATGCTGGGCCAATGCAGATATCCGATATATAACGCACATATCAGCCAATGCCGATAATCGATATTTTAATATGTACATATCTTCACATCTTGGGCATGCAGTATTACCTTCCATAAAGGCCACTGCACACTGGATGTGCTGTGCTGTGCAGCATCCAAAAATTAGAAACCATTGTTCTTAATGGAGCTCTGCCCGCTTGTCCCGGTACTCCATCAAGCACTGTTAAGTTCCTCAGCACATTACAGCACGATACTCAGCCTTTTGCCATTATTACATTAAATTAAAGCCATATTGAGACCAGAGAGAGCCACTGTAGATGTGGCTTGAAATTTACACAAAGAAAAGGCAGTCAGTCCTTTAGGTAAACAGACAAAAGCTAATAGTAAGTTACTTCAGCTAATGTTATTAGCCTAACCTTTTCAGCCTTTCATCACTTGTCCATGCCGGTGCCTCGGGCTCCAGAATGTAACTGCTGCACCATTTAAGGTGGAATGGGAAAATTCAAACAAGAAGCTGGCAAATTAGAAGCAAACTTCAGCTTTGTAGTTTTAATGCTGGTAGTGTTTGATAAAAAAAGATATAAGCTATCAGAACATCCTACCTGGAGTTTTATGTATAGTGCCCTCTAGAAATATTGGCACCCCTGGTGAACATGAGCAAAACAGGTGGTAAAAACATTCTTTATTGCTGATCCTTTTGATTTCTCATTCAAAATATTAACAGAAATCTAAGTATAAAGATTGAAGAAAAAGAAAACTAAATCTTATCGGGAAATAAATTTTTTTCTCAAATCTGTGTGTGCCACAAAAGTTGGCACCCCCTCATTTGATACTTTGTTAGCCTCCGTTTGCAAAGATAACAGAGTCTTCTTCCTATAATGCTTAATGAGACTGGAGAACACATGGCAAATGATCTAAAACCATTCCTTCATACAGAAACTCTCCAGATCATTCAGATTCCGAGATCGACATTGGACCCTCCTCTTCAGCTCATGCCACAGGTTTTCTTTGGGGTTTAGGTCAGGGGACTGACAGGGATGGCCGTGGCAAAACTTTGATTCTGTGGTCAGTGAGCCATGTTTGTGTTGATTTTGAGCTGTGCTTTGGATCATCATCCTGCTGGAAGATCCAAACTATGGCCCAGTTTATGCTTCCTGGCTGAGGCAGTCAGGATTTAATATCTGCTGGTATATAATAAGTCTGTGAGGCCATGTATCTGAACAAGTTGTGCAGGGCCTTTGGAAGAAAAACAGTCCTTTAACATCACAGATCCACCACCATACTTCACAGTGGGGATGAGGTACTTTTCTGCATGGCTGTCTTTGTGTCCGCACCAATCTCACCTCTGGTGTTTGTTGCCCAAACTTCTATTTTGGTCTCATTTGGCCAAAGAACACAGTCCCACTGAAAGTTCCAGTAACACTGGGCGAACTGTAGGTGCTTGAGTTGACTGGCCCTTATCAGCAGAGGCCTTTTTCTGGCAACCCCCCCAACAACTTGAGGTTATATAAGTGGAGTTTGATTGTGGTTTGGTAGATGTAAGACCTAAGTAATGTCTGCAATTCCCCAACTGTGATCCTTGGAGATTCTTTGTCCACTCAAACCATCTTCCTCACTGTGTGTGGGGTCAGTATAGACATATGCCCTCTTCCTGGCAGATTCTTAACATTTAGAGTTGTTTAAAATGTCTTAATTATTGAACTGATAGTGGAATTTCATCTGGCTCTTTTCTTGTACTCTGTGTTTCATCTCATATATATTCCCCAGTGAAACACTGACCATTTCAAGAGTTCCTAATCACTTAAGTGAACTTAAACAAAAACATAAAACATAAACAGGAATATACGTCAGTTAGATTTCACTCTTAAGAATTGTGGCACACATAGATTTACGAAGAATATTTCATAACTAGATGTAGTTTTTCTTCCGGTCTTAATACCTTAAATAAAGGTTAGATTTTTGTTAATATTTTGAATAAAAGATCAAGAGGATAAGCAATTAAGAATATTTTACGGCTCATTTTGCTCATGATTACCAGAGGTGGCAATATTTGTGGAGAGAACTGTTTTGTGTGTCTGCACAGTGCTGTGGCAGGCATTTTAGCTGCACTGCTGTAGTCCAGCCAGCATCACCTAAATGTTAATGGTGCTCTACCAGTCAATAAATGTGTCATCAAATATGGGAATGAAATATCAGCAAAATCTAAGCATTGGCCCGATGATTTTAAAATGATTTTAAAAAAGCATGCTGATGTCGATATGATTCCGAAATCATTATGCATCCCTAAACAAAACATAGCAGTCCAGAAAAACACATTTTGCACTCACAACAATGAACTGATCATACTATAGTATTAATTGGCAGAATAACATAATCTTACGTAAACTGTGTAGCTGTATTATCTATGAAAACACAAATAGAGGATGATAGCAGTATTGGCTGCTTATATTAAAGGACTCCTTGAGACATTTTAAAGGGCCACGAAATGTATTACTCTCTGGAAATTGTCTGTCTGATTTGCATTAAGGCTTAATGAGTAAAATACTTCCAATAAGACCTGAAAAAGAAAAATAACATTCGTGGATCAGCTGTCTGAACTGGTGTCTCAACTTTCACGCATGCCTCAAGTTTCCATGTTAAATTTAATAAAATCAGTAATAACTGTCCATTCAGATTTGCAAACACGTCATGTTTAGGTTTGTTCTATGCAGAGATGCTAGAAACCTTTTTTACTTAGAAAATCAACAGAATGTTGGTGAAGATGGGCAAAAGTATGTGTTGACTTTCAAAAATGTTGACCTTCATAAAGCAGGTTAAGGCTTTAAACAATAGCTAAACACCTGAAAATGCCCATATCCACTGATAGAGCAATACTAAATAAGTGATTGGAGATTTGTAGAAGATGGTAGCATTTTGGGGTCACCAAGTCTCCAAAACTACAGTTAGATGTGACTGCCATGCCAGCAAACTCTTTAAAAGGCGTGCTAGAAGAAATTTTGGAAACACTTTCTATGAATGTCACCTTTGTAAGCATCTATAAATGCATTCATAACATGTTAAAATGCATGCATAACACATTATAAACATATCTATAAATATTTATAAAAATGCATTATACATTATAGCCATGTTTATTATGCATTATGATTTGTTAACATAATACATTATAAGTACTGATCATAACAAATTATAAGCGCTTATAAGTGGTATTTGTCCGCTTTAAGTAAAGTGAACTTTACGTAACTGTACTAAAGCCTCCTCCAGTGTTAAGAGTGAGGCTTCAAGTTGAAGTATTTACTGAAGGATTTACTGAAACACTAAAACATACACAATAAAGCACATTACAGGCTTCAAATGTCAGAGTTTAAACTAGTGCTGCCATCAGTGTTTTACCCAATGTGGGAAAGTCAATGTACACCATCGTTAGCTTGGTATTTGTCTTTACTTTACACTCTCCAAGCTAGGACTGACTTCTTTGGCACTGACATTATAACATGTTATTAACACTATTTATAATGCATTATATTAACAATTCATAATGTATAATCAACATGGCTATAAAGTGTAATTGAGTGTAATTCTTTTTAATAAATATTTATAACCACATTTATAATGCCTTATGAATACATTATAACATGTTATAAATGTGTTTATAGATGCTTACAAAGGTGACATTCATAGAAAGTGTTACCGAAATTTCTTCTTAAGAACTGTTGGTGGAGGAGGCCCAGTGGTTTTTTTTTGTTTTTTTTTATATCTTGTGTATGTAATGCTAATACTTTCATGCTCATCATCTAATATTTGTGTGTTGTGTTTGCAGGCGTGTTCATAGCTCCAGTGAAAGGTGTTTATTTCTTCACCTTCACAACATACAGCTGGGCTAAGAATGCCGACATTGGGGTGGTTTTGTACCGGAACCAAGAGGAGGTGCTGCGGGTTTGGGAGCATCAGGGCGAGGGGGATAATGAAGATTATGCCACTAACTCTGCTGCCCTGGTCCTGCAGCCGCTCGACACCGTGAGTCTCCGTCTGCCCAAGGGCTTCCAGGTGGCCACCAGCATCGATGACAACAGACACACCTTCTCTGGATTTCTGCTCTACCAGCTGTGAGCTGCCAGTGAGGCCTCATAGCATCCACAGTCGCTTTCATCACAACAGAAATGAAGAAAAAGTGCATTTAAATGTTAGAAGTCAACAGTTATTGCATTCAATGTGCTGTACGCTTTAAATGCAATTGAAATAATTACATAGTTACATTCTGTTTGTTTCAATTTCAGGCATTAACAAAAAAAAATGTATGGAAAATGTAATGGATGGTCCTACATTCTGCAAAATAAGACCGAACATAACTTTTCATCAAATTCAAAAAACAAAATATGCCATGAATGTGAATGAATGTAATACCAAAGTTGTACGGACTTGAAAGTTTAGAACCCACTCTTGATCCCTGGAGCTATGACTAATAAATAAGCTGTCACTATCCTTTATCATCACAGGTGATAACTTTAACTTCTAGGGTTCACAATGGTGTGTCTGCTCAGTACCAAAATGCATGTACATCGCTTTGTCAATTAAAAAAAATAAAAGGACCTTGGTCATTATTACATTTACATTTATGGCATTTTGCAGACACTCTTACTTACAATTTACAGTTACATAGGTCGGCGCAGGTAGTGTTAGGAGTCTTGCCCAAGGACTCTTATTGGTATAGTGTAGCATAGGGCAGTGGTTCCCAAACCTTTGAACAGTTCTGTATCTCCTTTTTATAAACCTTCTGCTGAGGACCCCCTCTCACACGTGCACACACACATGCAAATATTGTAATGCTACATTTGTAAGACTTTTAAGCTTGTAAAATCATACCAGCTTAAAATATCAAACATGTTATAATGTGGCGAAACATGACACCATATCATGTAATACGGAATAAATAATGTTAGGCCTGTATTTTAAACTTGGTTCACCTAGGAGTGCTGCTCAGAGCACAGGGACGATGACAAGGAGTGAACTGTATTCGGTTGTAATCTAAAAGCAGTCACACACACTGTAAAAAAAAATGTTGATCTGTTTTTTATCAGGTTATTTTTCTGTATAATTTAAACAGAATTTTTCCATGTCTGCATTTTACTGTCACTCTTCCATATTTCCAAACTTTTTCTCCATGATGATACATTCAAATGTGTTAATAACATTGTAACTACATGATAATGTATGGTAAAATATCAACCTAGACATGTAGCTACAGTACTGACCATTAGCTGTTAAGTTACCAAGCATCCCAGCATAAGACTAGCTATATTTTTTAGATTCTATTGCTGCATTTTACTTACTATTTACAGCAATGTTAACTACTTTAGTGTCAGCATGTGCTACAGTTTCCCACAAATGTTAATGCTTTGCCCATAAACTAGACATGAAAGGGGTACAAGTGTATAAAAGCCAGCTAACTAAGTTAGCTAATGTTAATTAACAGTGGCTAGTTAGCCGCAGGGCTACCAACTCTCATGCTCTGGCTGTGAGGCTCATGCATTTAGGTCTATGCTACTAGTGTAATGCTAATTTACATTAACAATGAGAATTCCTATGTGATATTAGCATCAAGCTAATTGTGTCTGTTCCCGTTTTTATCGTGCTCTTCTTAAATATTGACAATTAAAGCTTGTAACAGACATTTAAGTAACATCTTCTCATTTTGTTTTTAGGAGTTTTACAGTCTCTCTAAAGTCTGGCTGCAGTTGAATGCTTTTTGTGTTCAGCGATTAGCCAAAAACCAAGCCTTCAACCCTGACACGTGACAATTTTGGGAATTTGTAAGATGGTAGTACAAAAATTGAGGGAACAGAATGTAACTGTTAGAGCATTTAAGTGGGGATGGAAAATTAGAAAAAGGCCGGTTTTAATTAAACACAGACATTTGAAGTTGCTTTGAGACATTCCATGGTTTCCTCGAAGCTTGTGGCAGACATGTTAGCATACAGTTTACCTTGTAGCAGTTTCACAGTGACTCTTTGGAAGGGTTCAGTTGAAAATGGGGGGCATATGACAGGATATCTGAACATCTGGTTCCTGCAAAATGGAACATGCACACCTGTGTCATTCACATACACTTCAAAGATGGAAAATGCAGAAGTAGATTGCAAAAGTCCAACCTGAGTTCATAGTGGGGACAGCATGGACATCAAGTCAAGGATCAGGTCTACGTGACGTCGCTAAGGATTAACAGCGTTCCATTAGAGCATCGTCTTTACTGTTAGAGCCAAATATGAAGTATAAGTTGCACCAACAAATATGGGAACTGGTCCCATGGATATGTTATTGGAGAAGGGAAATTATTCCATATATTAGGTAGTTGTTTGCAGATATAGCAAAGGGCAGCAGCATGGACTTTCCCAACCAATTACCATATATGCAATCTCTAGTCTCTAGTATGCATCATTCATGGTATATAAGTCTCTGTGTTAGGAACTTAGCTAAGTGTTCTTCATACATTCATGGAGATAGTTATTAACCTGTCATTAATCAGTCTTTCAGTAGTGAGCTCTGGTACAGAGCTGCTGCCGTTTTCCAATTCTGCTGCCCTTGTATTCATAGTCAGTAATGCGTCTCGGATTTTCAGAAGGCCTGGAGTGACGATTTTGGTTCCACCTGCTAGAAATCAAAATGTGACTGGTTGATTTCTTCGTCAATTCATAATTATTTTGATAGTTAATCTAATATGTTAGGCCTTCTCTTCAGCTCCTGAGGTCCTAACCAATGTGTTTCAAGAATTTAACCCTTTTGTTTCCATCTAAAACTTTACAATGAAACAAGGGTAGAACTGTAATACTTGCAGAGTTCAAATACAAAAAAGATTTTATTGAAATAAAAATTAACTAAAAATGATAGATGTGCATCTTTTTAGTTCCCAGAAATCATTAGACCTTCTCTGAAGGCCCCAAAAGTTGAGAGTTCCAATTTGAAACAAAGCAGTTTAACATTTTGAGCAGTCACTTTTCACCTTGGGACAGATGACAATATTTTTCAGGATGGTTCTGGAACGGTTCTGTGAAAAAGATTGTCTGGACCCTAAATATATTTACTGAACATTTTTGTATTTTCTGAAATGGTTGATATTTTATAAAAGCAAGCCACTCGAGGCCAAACATTACAGTGGTTTTGCCATGGGTAAGGGCAGTTCCCCTTATATTTGATGAAATAACTGTAACTTTATGCATTGCTTGGATGTTGTAGGATGAATTTTAGGCTTTAGCTGCCTTATAATGCAAGACAAGTGTATCACTGCATTGTTGGAAAGACATATTCTTTAAGCATGCATCTCTGCAAAGACTTAAAAGTTACAAACGAACTTCCTCATTCAGAAACAAATTTGCAACAGTAGGTGTGAACATGCATTTGTACAGGCCAGTGATGTAGCACTAACAGCTTCCTTCTGTGGAACAAAAGAAACATCGTTTATTTTGGTGGTGCAATCAGCGCAATTAGAGGAACGGTGACTTGCAGGTCTACAGTGCTAATATAAGAACACACCGAGTTCTCCACTGAGTGCTCCATGATGGTGATGAAGATCACAGTGATAAAGATGAAGCTGTTGGTGCTGGTGTTGGCAGCCCAGCTGCTGAAGGTGAACTCAACTAAAGAAGAAGACATTATTTTGAAGAACTAAGGAGGTGAAAAAAAATTGTGCCAAGGTAAAGTTGACTTGTCGGCGCTCTATCGTCACACTGTCCTTTGCAAAGTTATCTCTTGATTCCCTTTAAAATCTTGATGGTGTTGCTTCAAAGCCTTTGGTAGTGCAAATGAACATATAATTGTCTTTATTACGGCGTCAGATCTGTGCTAAAAGTGTTTATAATATAGTGTACGTCACATTCATCCTGATATTAAATACATTTGTGTGTCCGCTGTGCAGTTTGTACCTGTAATGTGATGGTTTCTGACCAGACACTATGATTTGTATTCATAATAGATAAACTCCTGCTGAAAAAAACAGTACAGACCTGCATGAATTCCATACTGGTATAAGCTGTTTTATGCTGGTCTATGGCTGGTTCAACTGGTTTACCACTGTGTTGCATCACCTCTTCTTTTAACAACACTCTGTAAGTGTTTGGCAACTGAGGAAACCAATTTGCTGTATTTTTGTATACTTGCTTGATAAAGGATTTTAGGTGCTCAACAGTTCAGGTCCCTTTTGTCATATTTTTCATTTCATAATCTGCCACATGTTGTCAATGGGTGACAGGTCCGGACTGCAGACAGGTCAGTTTAGCACCCGGACTATTTTACTACAGAGCCATGCTGTTGTGATACATGCAGAATGTGGTTTGACATTGTCTTGCTGAAATAATCAAGGCCTTCCCTGAAAAAGACGTCGTCTGAATGACAGCATATGTTGCCAAAACCCGTAAATGTAGTTTAGCATTAATGGTGACTTCCCAGATGTACAAGTCACCCGTGCCATGTGCACTAATGCACTCCCATACCACCATGCGTGCTGGCTTTTGAACTGATAACAAGCCAGTAGGTTTCTCTCCTCTTCAGCCTGGAGGATGCAGCGTCCATAATTTCCAAAAAAATTTTTAATTTGTCTGACCACAAGACACTTTTCCACTTCTCCTCAGTCTTCATCTTAAATGAGCTCAGGCCCAGAGAAGGCAGAAGCGTTTCTAAATCCTATTTATATATGGTTTCGTCTTCACAGTTTTTTAGCTTGCATTTGTGGATGCAGCAATGAACTGTGCTCACAGACAGTGTTTTTCAGAAGTGTTCCTGAGCCCATGCAGTATTTTCCACTAAAGAATCATGTCTATTTTTAATTGATATTATGTATTTTACATTGAGAAACTTTTTTTTTTACACTATTTGATTGTGCAGTCTTTCACAGAGTGGTGAACCCCTCATCATCATTACTTCTCAAGGACTCAGCTTCTCTGAGATGCTTTTTTAATACCCAGTCACGTTACTAACCTGTTGCCAATTAACCTAAATAGTTGTGAGATGTTCCACCAGGTGTTTTCTTTAGCATTACACAAATTTTACCAGTCTTTTGTTGTCCAAACTTTTTAAAATGTGTTACTGGCATCAAATTCTAAATAGGCATACATTTTTTAAACAAACAATAAAATCTCTCAGTTTCAACATTTGATATGTTGTCTTTGTACTATTTTCAATTAAATATAGGGTTCAAATGATTTGCACATCATTGCATTCAGCCTCCCAACTTTCTTGAAAATGGAGTTGTATACTGAGGCCGCGAGTTAAGTTTCTTGTTTTATGTGTCCTGAATGTATTACTTTGTGGCCTCAATACATTAATTGTTGGCTTTATATATTAATCGGTGGCCTTAATAAATTTGTGCCCTTAATATATATTCATTTAAGGCTTCAGTTACCTTAGTGCATAGTCTCATCTGTCAGTCCCCTTCCATGTGGAAAATGCTGTGCAAGTAGGAATAACATCAACAGCTCCATGACCAGTGTCTGTATCAACCTTAAATTAATTATGTAATTTACCTTGATCTATACAGAGGATTGCTCACCACTTTTATTTTCAGATGTGTTCAGATTTGTTTGCAATCTTAAAACATGATGCTTGTAGTAGTGACTTTTGGAAAAAGCTCCATAAGTTAAAATATTTAGCTGTCAAACTGTTGCTTTAACTGTTTTTTATTTCCATTTTTTAAAGATGGTCAAGTTTTATGCAGCAACAATGCTATTACTTTAGTTAAAGATCTTATAGCAGTAACTAATTATTGCATACTTCATAATGTGTCCAGCATTTTTATTATTTTTAGCTGTACAGGTCATGCATTAAGCACCATATAAGTTCTTGTTAAAACACTTTACCTCTACTGTTATAATTGGTGTGCAGAAATGTGCATTATTGGTCACTAGTGGTTTATCATCAAAGTGGCTTTACATCTGTAGCTCAAATAGGTGTGTTTCGATTAAGGCAGATAAAAAAATATATTTGTTTGTTATATATAAGTATCAAAATTTGTTTTCAGATAAAGTACGATTAAACCCACTAATCAAAACTGAGAAGTGTTCAAAATGACTGTAATTAAATGATTTAGATGTAAACAAAGTCATTCAGATGGTTTGGTGTGAAATGCTCCAACTAGAGAAACTTAAAGTCTGAATTGTTCACAGTGGTGGTGATAGGAACCAGACATCTGAAGAGTTTAACTTCTCTAAAAACTACATCAGAGAAAATTATTAC